TTATGGGGCTGAGGGGAAAGAGGCTGGAATGGAGGAAAGATGTGGGGGGTCACTGCGAGGGGATGGTGAGAGCAGGAGGAGACTGGCTGGGGAAGGGAGTGGGGAGGGGCAGGGAGAAGGCAAAAGGGCAAGGAGGGGCGGGGAGAGACACAAGGCAGCTCCCCCGCCCCGTGGCATAGGAGAGGTTGAGGAGCTGCCCTGTCCAGCAGCCAGCTAGGAATGTTTTCCTGTAACTGGTCAAACAAACATGGGGGGCAGGTAGGGTGACCAGATGTCCTGATTTTATTGGGACAGTCCTGATATTTGGGGCTTTGTCTCATATAGGTGCCACCCCCTGTTCTGATTTTTCACCCTTGCTATCGAGTCAGCGGACTATCTCCTCAGGGCCCAGAAACTACACAGCAAATACCCAGCCCTCCTCCCCCCCAAAAATCTATTAAAGACAAGCCCATGATTTTGGGGTCTGTCTCCTGAGTGTTGGAGCTGCCCAGGGCCCTGGTCTGATTTTCATGCAGGATTTAGATCTCAGCCGTACCGGAGTCAGACCGGAGTCTGCTGGTTCGGAGCCAATGGGATCAGCCTCTGCCTGGGGGCTGCAGGGGCAGGACAGGGAGGCTCAGGCATTAGCTGCTGCCACCAAAGGGCTGATTATGGGTAAGGGAGAGGAGGAGGCGGGCGCGTGTCTCTCCCTGCTCATGTTATTACAGCCCTGGAGTGGAGCTTCCTGGTGGGTCAGATGTTGCTGCCCCCTGAATTCTGACCTGGGAGCCCAGACTGAGCCACTGCTTCTTATGCAGCAGGGTCTGTGGGGGTGGGGGGGGGGGACCTGCATTCACTCCCCGGGGAGGGGAACAGGCTCCAGTGTCTGGAACCAGCCCCTGGGGCAGCCCTGGGCTCTGGTCACACCTGCCCGTGAGCCGGAGTCTGCAGGTGACTGGGAGAGACTTGGGGGGAAGGGCTGGGGCCAGGCAGGAAACTGACGCTGCACAAAGGGCCCCTTTCAGGGACCTGCTGGTGAGCTTGTACCGAAGGGGAAGGGGGTTCCCCGTGTGCTGCCCTCACGGACTCAGTCAGGATCAAACCCCTTTTAGCAGTGGCAGTGGGTGATCTAGCTAGTAAGTGCAAAGGCCCACGACACTGGGGCAGTCACCAATTCTCCCAGGGCGAGGGAAGAAGATAAAAAGGGGGAGCGGAGAGACTGAAAGGGGCAGCAGGAGCAGGAAGCGGGGAGGGAGGTTCCCAGCTCCCAGCCCTGCCCGGATCCATTCCCTGCACCCCCTGGGCAGACCGACTCTCCTGGGAACAAGGGGCGAAGCTGAGACAGGAGAAGCCAGTTGCTGACACTACTTCAGAGGGGGCGGGGGGGAGTTAGAGGGGCTGACACTACAGTACCAGGGGGAATTCCCCAAAATGCCTCCTTCGGTTCTGCTCTTTTTCCAGCACTTGGCTCAGAGATGCGGTTACTGGGAGGGTTTAATGGTGCCCCGGTGGGTTCAGTTCTGGCAGGAGGGGCCTGGTCTGGGTGGTAATAAACTAAGTGGGTTTCTTGCCAGCGTGGCAGAGTCCAAAGTGTCTGTCTGCAGGGAGAGAGCCTGGGTGGAATCGGGGTGTGACAGGGACTCAAGCCCCTTCTGTAACCTCCCCCATCGCCCCGACAGGCTGAGGAATCACATCCACGTTTCACTCCAGATCGTCCCGTCGTGCAGGAGACAGAGAAGCGAAATGGTTGTGATGGAGCCAGCTCAGGTAGGGGATTGTCAGGGAGTTGCTGGGCAGGGGGAGGGAGAGGCAGGGAGGAACAGGGTGCAATAAACATGCTGAGCAGGCCTATTGGCAGTGGGGAGGGGGGAACATTACACCATTTCTCAAATATGAAACAACCCCCCTGGGCAGGGCTGGAAAAACTGACCAGACTTCCAGTGCTGGAGCCTGACCCCACTGGCCCAAGGCTGCTATGCAAAATGAGGAGAAGTTTCTGGGATTCCTGGCCCTGTCCTCAGCTCAGAGCTCAGCTTCCTGTGCCAGCCTGTGGCTGGGAGGTGTGTGGTAAATGTGAAGATGCTGCCCTTCTCCATTTGCTGTGGGGGGACAAGGAGCTCTCACCTTAAAGAGAACTGGATAAATTCATGGAGGTTAACTCCATTAATGGCTATTAGCCACAATGGATAAGGAATGGTGTCCCTAGCCTCTGTCTGTCAGAGGGTGGAGATGGATGGCAGGAGAGAGATCGCTTGATCATTATCTGTTAGGTTCACTCCCTCTGGGGCACCTGGCATTGGCCACTGTCGGTAGACAGGATACTGGACTAGATGGACCTTTGGTCTGATCCAGTACGGCCGTTCTTATGTTCTTATGTACCTTCTCCCGCCCCATGAAGCCTCCTGGCTGCTCTGAGCAGAGTGCGGGTGGGAATCTGCCTCTCCGGCCCTCCCAGAGCTTCCGAGATTGTTTTCTTATTCTTTCTTCCTTTCCTGTGAATATTGGGATTGGGGCTGTGGCAGCAGGTGCTGAGTGGGGGACTCTTGTTGTTTCAGGTGCCGGTGAGCTTCGAGGAGGTGGCTGTGTATTTCACTCAGGGTCAGGGGGCTCTGCTGGACCCTGCTCAGAGAGCCCTCTACAGGGACGTCATGCAGGAGAACTACGAGACGGTGACCTCGCTGGGTAAGGGATTCCCGTCCCCTCAGTTAGTCGAAGCCGTGCAGCGCTTTAACAGGACAGTGTGGTCGCACGTCAGCACTGGGACAGAGCTGGTAAACCACCTCCATGAGCAAGTTTCAGCGCAGTAACTTGCTATTGTAGACAAGGCCTTAATAGTGTATCTCATAAGTGTGCATCTGTACACACTGTGTGGCTAGTGCTGTTGTGTTGTTAATTTCAGACACACCAAATACATTCATATTTAGAGATGTTTTCAAGACTTGGGCTTGCTTTAATTGGAGCTCCACACTTCTTATTCCTTGCTTCAATAATGTACCAAAAATGTTGTGTCACGTGTCTGTGTAGCCCTCAAAATCTTACCCAAGGCTGACATTTCTCCTTGTAATGTCTCAATATCAGATGAGTTTAAAACTCCAGTTCCAGCACCAATCGCCACCTACAATGTATTCTCTTATACCTCTTTTATTTTGTATAGTCCCGTCTCCCCATGGTTGTCGCCAAGCATGTAATAGAGGTAAGGCATATGGCATACACTGCAGATGTTGTGCACTCATGTTTATTTGAGTTCTTTCCAACCGGATTGTTTGGTCCACAATAGTTGGGGCTTCAATTATTTCTCCCCTTCGATATGGGTGTTCATCTGCCATAATTCTTGGTGCAATCTTATATCCCTGAAAATATCCTCCCTCATTAATTTTCCTAAAGCAACTCAGTCTTATCATTATGGAATAATCCACCATCATATCATATTCCCATAAGTTGAGAGCCATTGACTCATTCCATCCCACATGAATATTAGCCAGTTCTTGTTCATGAGTCACGTCTAAGGTGACTACATCAAATCCCAAACTCCAAAAGATACAATTCAGAGTGCTCACGTTCAGACTATTTTCATCATAACTACATCTAAACATTAGTCGACCTTCCTCTCTTAGTATGAACAAATATCTCCATTGCTCTTCCAAATTGGTTGTATGTATTTCCATCTCACATTTTTTCCATCTTCCCACCATATTTTAAATTTTACCTCAAAAGGTTTCTCTTCGCATATGGTTTTGTTTGGTCCTGTTTTTTTCCATTCTGTCCCAGGAGCAGTCAAATGTGTTATCTCCTTTGCTCCATACCTCCATCCTAGAGGTGCTCCCATATGTATATCCACCTA